TGTGATACAAGCTTATTGAATATTTTATATCATGCAGCAAGGCAAGCTGTAGAAAATGTCATGAGGTGGATAGTTGAATTTTATATCTGAGAAGAACAATCTGGAACTTACGGAAGAAAGTATAAAACACACATTCCATATTGCAGAAGTAAATTGAACACCTGCTTATACTTTAAATATAATTTGACTTTCATCATGAATTAACCTTGGAGAATGTACTTTATTCTTCCAATATTTCAAGAAAAGCAAGTTGACATCTGGATTTTGACTTTGAGATTTACACACTCCAATCCACATGGCTAATGACTGTGAAAATTCAGCGGTAATAAAGTGGGGGATGTGAAATGAAATTATGCGTAGACTAACAGAACTGAGAATGCATGCATTAGCCCATCTAGACCAAATCATGTATGTATAAATACAACCTTGATCTTTTTGTAATGTTTTGCCTGCAGGCAGCTTTTTACTAAGTAAAGAATTTTTATTGCTCCAATTCTTAAATTGTAACAAAGTTAAGGCTTATCAAAGCAAATGTCAATGAATATAAATTGGGATTTAAAAGAGGGGATGCCCTTAGATATGAGAGTGTTGTTTCAGGTAATGGGGTCGTTGTTGGGTCACTAATTGCCATCGTTAAACCATAAGATGTCTGCGTAGTTCCCTATATCTTCTCAAAAGTACGCCATTTTCATTTCTATCTGGCTGGGTAATTTGTAGGGCTTGATGAGCTCTGGTATTAAGGATGATGGGATGAATGGTGTCACTCCCGATTAGACTTGTCGTATCTCTATAACCCCATCTGGATCCCCCCAAATCCTAGCATGATGACGAGTCGAGGAGTTCTGATGTCATAGCGTAGATCCGATCGCCATGACGATGTATCGTCGGTTGAGAGCTAGAACAGCATCAGCTCTTTGTTAAGAGATAAGATTAAATGCCCTTCTGATTTTGATGAGATGATATTTTCTGGTGGCTCACATAATGATACCCACAATAATTCTCCCATGGTTTCCATTTCCCATCACGGTTCTCTCCATCATCACCATCATCTGACGGATTTAATGGATAGATGAGTCACTTGATCCACTTTGTATGATGAATGGACTTGTTGACAGTATGTGTTGGAAAGATATTTTCTGGAGCAAATTGATGTAGGCGCTTTTATGGCCATGCTGGGGGCGAAAAACACAGTAATTGGAAATAGATCAGCATAAACTTATGATAAATTGAGCAGGTAGTGGCTCTGTTTAATTTGTTGTTGTTGTTGTTTAATTTGCCTTCCCTCTCTCTCCCTTCTCTCTCTCTCTCTCTCTCCTCGTTCTCTCTCTCTCTCTCTCTCTCTCCTCGTTCTCTCCTCGTTCTCTCTGGTCATTCATTTTTCCAATTATTTTTTCTCCAAGTTTGCTCATGTGTGACAATGTTTTTGTACAACCAATTTTTCTCCTTCTCTATTCTTTTCCTCTTTATTCTTTTGCTTTCCTTCTGATTATCTCTTAATTGTCATAAGTATCATATCTTCTATTTTCACCCCCTTCTCTCTTTCTTTTTCTTTTTTCCTTTATTTTTTCTCTTTCTCTCTCTCTCTCTCTCTCTCTCTCTCTCTCTCTCTTGTTCTCTCTCTCTCTCTTTCTGGTTGGGCTTCCTCACTTGGCCTCTTGTCCGTCTGTCTGTCTGTCTGTCTCTCTCTCTCTCACTCTCTCTCTCTCTCTCTCGCTACTTTCTCCCTTAATCTTAGTTTTACTATACTTTGAACATGGAGATATAAGAATATCTCCATGCTTTGAACAAGCACATTAAGCTTAGATAATTACATAACTACATTAACCTTCTCTGTCCCCTTCTCACTCACACACACACACACACACACCCCTCCATCATCCCCTGCATGCTCCCAGACAACCCATTTTCTGTTGCCTCCATCCGTCCACTCTCCCGTTTCGTCCTCCTAACCCATTAAGACATCACCTGATGCCCTGCTCCCATATAAACAAGTGGTTGGATGCAGAGATGAACATCTACCTCTCTGACCCCCTTTTCTTCCCCTCCCATCCACTCCAACGTATCGTCTTACATTCCAAAGATAAACGAGATAAATGCACCTTTTATCCATCTCGCATAAGAAATGTATGACTAAGACCGTGATGCACAAGGCGGTATGCCTCGGGATATGAAGCTGAATTAAACTTGGAAGTAAATTGCATGAATAGGCTGCAGTAGGCCTGGATATGAAAAATGGGGGAATGAAATTGACACTATGGCGGTATGAAATGTACATGCTTCATATAGTAATGCAGGGCTTGCTTTTATTTGTACGCTGAATAGGGATGATATTAATCAAATTCACAAAAATTAAGGGGCCATGCTGTATTTCTTATGTGAATAATTCATTTGCTATAGTTCATTGGCACTTTATTGTAGTTATGCCCTTCTGAATCTCAGCAGTCAAGCAGTGAATAGTTGAAATGTTGATTCCTTGAGATTATTCAAGTAGATATCTCATAAGTGAATTTGCCCTTTGACCCCTGTTAGTGTCAATCCCTATATATATATATATATATATATATATATATATCATTATGATCTAAAGTAGATGTTAAAGTGGGAAGTAGAATTCCCTCCCAAAAAATTTTGTTGACAGCGTTTGAAAAAAGATGCATTTACATGTATCCAGAAATGTTTTATTCATTTGTTGATTGATTATTGATCCATTATTCAGAAGGGAAAAAGAAAAGAGAATTGTATATATGATTAAAAAATACACTTGTATAATTGTGTAGTATTTAAAAAATGGATAAATCATTTTTATGGTGAATTAAAAATAGATAACGATGAATTTCAATTTTGTTTACATGCATCTAAGGACATAGATGTCAGTAGATCATGAGATATGAGGAATGGCTCTACCTCCCCAATTTAGCCAGTATGCATAAACAACATAGTCCAGCATACGTCAGGGATGTTATGCTATCCTATTCTGCATCATTACTATTGTATAGGAGAAGATTGATTTATAGATAGTACATGGCACAGAATGGTTCAGTGCCAGGTCATGGTACTACATTATTCTATACTTAGGTTCAGTCTAGGGTCACTCCTATCATACACCGGATTACTCATTTTGCTCATTTCAGGAAAGGTGGAAAATGGCAGACCCGTGTTGGTTTTAAGTGTCAATTTGGATGATTACTGGTATTTTTATAGCTGCCATAGACAGCAAGAGCTCAACATTTCCGCTAACAAGAAAGCACATCAAATGAATAAATTAAATTATATGGAATTAGAATTGAATGGCCTTAACATGAAGAAGGTATATGTAGTCTAGCTCCCAACCTGTGCTATAGCCTATAGTTATACATTGTTTCATGCTACATTATTTTGTTCTTAGTATGGTGCTTTTATGTAAAATTTCAATGGAAACATAACACGAATTGAGGCTTTGTACGTTTATGATTTTTCCATTTAAATTGGCCTTCAATGTGATGCATTGGAGGAAACAAGCCAAGTGAAATCTGAAATGATGTTCTTGACTTGGACAAGTAAAACAGACTCTCTGGCAATCAATTATGAAAGTCTCTCTCAAGGATGTAATTATCTTAATGGGTCAAATGGGAGTGATGGAAAATACTTTTAATGGCAAGTTTTAAAATGTGAAAATGTTATTAATGATGTTTTTTGTGACAAGCTTTTTCAAGTCTAATTTATTTTGAAGTTTAGTGGACAGTTGGCATTTCATAGGGGGTGGGAGTTGTGAAACATTAAATGAACTTTCTGCTACTAACGGCTTGCTCTACCTTTGTAAAAGTTGCAATTAAGATAATGCCTACCGTAGGAGAATCTTCGTCAAAACTAATGTATCAATGCGATGCAAGTTTAGTTGTGAAACATTTAATGAATTTTGTGCTACTAACGGCTTGCCCTACCTTTGCAGAAGTTGCAATTAAGATAATGCCTACCGTAGGAGAATCTTCGTCAACACTAATGTATCAATGCGATGCAAGTTTAGCGGAGCTCCTAATGTGATGGATCGTATGTGATTCGTCTGTCATTGTCGCATCGCACACCCATGCCCCAGAGAATCAAAGAAGTCTTACGTTCGTTTGACTGATCAGGGGAAGAGATATATACAGAGGGAGTAGATCTGATGGGGAAAGAGAAGAGAAGATCGGGGAAAGACAATTGAATGAAGAGTCTTTACCCAGTATTCCATTTCAAGTAATTGATGGGTAGTAAAATGTGTCAATTGCTCCCATTGGGACGTATGTGGCATTAACCCCCCCCCCCCCTCATCCACTGTCTCTTTAGCAGTGTTTATAAAGTGAGCTGTTGTCTTTCATGTCCAGAGAAAAACAAATATTAAATCTTGTGACTTACATGGATTAACACATTAAATGTTAGCCCAAGATTGCTCAGGATTAACCATAATGGAAATTTATGGTGAAAAATATAAATTTTCATTTTAAATTGTCTTCAACAGCTTAATAACAAATGTGAGATATTGCAAAGAATATTAACATTTCATTTTTTTTTTTTTAACCGTAATGGTAATGCAGTGCTTATATTGACAAACTTGTCAAGCAATTGTATGGTCCATCTTATTTTGTGTAGTACAAGGTTTTTTTTAACAGACGGACATATACTGAAATTAAAAAAATTGCTTATATCCCAAACAGAAAAATACTTGACACAGATATATATGCATACAGGACTGTACATATTTGTTGAAAATGACTTTTCCCACTTACTTCAAAGCTGTTTCTAGTTGTATTTAGTATATGAGATCACATTAAAAGATTTAATTGTGTTGTATTGCTACTTTGACTGTGGGAATATGAAAGAGATGGATAGAACAAATACATATAAGTTCTCTTTTCATGTGTATACAAATTAATGTGTACACAATTCGTCAGTGTCTTTACATTTTATGCACTCCTTGGATAGTATTTTCTTATCCTGAATTTTTCTTTTTTTCTTTCTTTCTTTCCTTGCTTTCACCATTACAGATTGGAAAAGAGCCATCAGGAATTACATGAAATAAACCAGGATCTAGAAGAGAGAATTCTTGATGTGGTAAGTATAAAGTTGTTCATGTTTCCAGCTACAAAACAGCTAATAATATTTGATATATCACCTACGAATAGCATCCCTTTTATATAAAAACTAATAACACCATCTCTTGAACATGACATGTACATGTATGTAAGGTTAGAGGTTATTTTAATTTACCTCGCAATAAACAGTATAGTACGTGATTGAGAAAAGGTTTCCCATTTTAACTTCTTGAATTTGAGTAGTTTCTGTTGTGGAAGAAAAACAAACACCCTCTTTGACTCCCACACCTAATTTGTAAATTTACGTTCCCAGGACCCAATGGCTAATTTCTTCCTCCCCCATAAGCACAGGATTTTGTTTGTGCCTAATTAAACATTAGAATACCCTGGGAGACGATGCTGAGGTTATAAAGAGGCATCTCCCAGCGCTCCTGACTTTCTGCCTTGGTGTCTCACGTGCCTGATCTTGAAAGACGAGATGACAAAATTAGTCATCACGCCCCTGAGCACTGAGCTGGTTAATTTCGTCTGAATCACATCAGGTTTTTTTAAACCCGGGCAGCAAAGCGCTGGCTGGCTGGCTGGCCGGTGAGAAAATGAATTTGTTCGTCCAGTGCACTGAGCACACTCCAGGGAATGCCTTTCGATGTTATCTCAAGCATGGGTTTACGGACTCGCTGGCGAGGACACAAAAACTCAGAGGGTTATGCACTAGTTAGGCTTTGTGACCACAGGGTTTGCTGAGTGGAGTGTAAGAAGTGCTAAAAAGATGTAAAAGTAAGATAGATAGATAGATGGATGGATGGATAGAAAAACAGAGAGAGAGAGAGAGAGAGAGAGAGAGAGAGAGAGAGAGAGAGAGAGTGGGGAAGGGAGAGTGGGAGAGACTTGTTATATAGAGATGGAAAGGAGAGAAGAGATGGAGACAGAGAAAGAGAGAAAGAATGAGAAATGGGGAACATTAATGTTGTTGGATTGGCATTTATGCACTTGTAAAATGGTTCCTAGCCAGAATACTCCCCAGGGAGCAGAATGTGTACACTATCATGTGCGAATTAGCAATTGAATCCAAGGACCAGGGTTATAATGATTACAATGTTAAGGGCTTAATAAAAATGCAGTATTATGCACTATACAAATGTGACTCAGAAAAAAAAATTAATCATGGAAATATCCATGATTCATTATTGAGCTCAAAGATATACATCTTTTTAGTTCACAATTATTCAGGACTTATCTACAAGCAATACAAACATGTTTGGCTGAAGAGGGCATTGATTTATTCTCATATTTAGAATAGCCTTGATTTTAATCAGAGTAGAATAACAGACGATGGAACAAGACATGTGTTATTATGACACAAAAATGAAAAGGGTAGGATAGTTGCATAGTATGTAAAATATGAAAAAATCTTTTCAGAAATGTTATATTGATAATCAGTCCTAGAAAACAAGGGCAAAATTGCTGAACAGAATAAAGTAAAAACACGTTTGGAGTGTTCTCATGTTAACAACCACCTGTTTGATTCATGGTCTTGAAAGCACAGAGTAAAATTCTTATGCGAACACATATATTCTCTCACTTTACATTATAGGTTAGGAAACAGAGTTAGAAAAGGAGGTATGAGTAAAATGTTAAAGAAACAGTGACTCATCTTACTGTGTGCAGAATGATAAAGTGAATTTTATCTGTCAGGATCCTTGGGATAGTTAACCCTGTTTAATCCCGCTCACTGTCTTTCTTTGATCAACAAGTTTCTGTCGCTGGGTATGTGTACTTCTCGCATGGCAGCCCAGCCGATAACAACATTACAGAACAGGCAAGCGGGAATGCAGCCGACTGCGAAAAACACTCGCGACCGAAGCGCGCATCTCGTCAAGTTTAATTACCTCCCTCTGCCTATCCAATTACGGGTCTGTCTCCTACCCTGTACAGTCACTGTAGTGGAATACACTACTCATCATTCAACGATAAGGACCTGACAGGTTGCAGTCACGTGACCCTACCCAATTATCCTCATATTTTGAAGAAGCGACCCCTCCCCTATCTCCTTCTCTTCTTGTAAGACTTGACCTTGCTCGAACGGACAAGCTAAAAATGGCCTGGGGCAAATATTTCAAGCTTGGCTTTGCTCGAACACGCTCTTGAAAGATAATCAGTGTGACATATTAGCCGGGCCACAGATTCAATGGCCATTAGGGAGGTCGGATGGCATTGAAAAATGCAGGGAAGTCATATTGTAGATCTCATCATTTTCTTATTCAGAAATTGCACAGTTTGATTTCCACATATACATTAGCAAGGCTGTATGGATGAAATGGATGAAAAACTACGACATTTTCCTCTGGTTTATTCTTAAAAATAATGCTAAATAAGAATTTAATAATAGTTTATTGATAATATCGTGGAAGTGATGTATTAATTTATGAGACCAGAAACAAGACCAATGTTTGTGCCTGTGAATATTTTTATGCAGGGCTTCACGCTAACTTTTTTGGAAGGGGTCCAAATCGAGCTTTTTACAGAATTTATGCATGACCCCTGCATAAAAAATTCAAAAATGTTGGGGTCTAGACTTAAAATTTGGGCACCTATGTGTCCCTGGTGCATGTGGGTGTTGAGCCCTGTTTATGACTTTGAAGCTCATAAGAAACTGATCTCTAATAAATATATTTGCTTCTTCTCTCCAAGCTGCAAACTTCATGAACCCGTGTCGAAAATAAAAGACAGAGACCTGTTCTTTCTCTCTTTTAACACATTCACAAAAATACCTGCAAACAAGAGGGGAAGATGGACATGGTTGTTGAAAATGTTAATGGCTGGATTTGCATTTCATCTGACGAAAATCACTGCATTTCTCTCAATACATGTGTACATCTCAAATTGGCAATCTTGTTGCCGTCTCAAGGCATTTCCATCTATTGCACCCCAGCTGCACATAATTTGCAGCTTCATAGACGGCTGGACTGCACAGGGTGGAGGATGGCCCCAAGATGCAATTTGCCTAGGTTGAATTCATCCACAGTGCAAATGTGTCAGAAAGTGTTTGATGCAGCTGTGGTTTTTCTCTCTCTTCCTCCATCAGATGTTTCCATGGCGATTATAATTTGCTGGATGGTTTTATAGGAAGGAAGACAGCCGATTTGCCTCTATTTCTTGGTTTAACTCTGATTTCAAGAAGTTTGGTTTTCAAAGATGAATAAGGATTTCTGCACAACTGAAACATGTGAAATGTGATCATTATTTTTGCATTGCAAATCAGCTGTTAAAAATATTGTAAGAGGGATGAGGTTGATATACAAGGAGAGAGAGAGAGAGAGAGAGAGTGAGGAGTGGGGGGGGGGGGGAGGGGGGGGGGGAGAAAGAGAGAGGGGAATGGGGAAAGAGCATTGGGGAGGGAGATCGAGATCGAGAGAGAGGGAGTAGAGTTCTAGAAAATGAATGTGGAAGGAGAGGGTACGAAAAGGCTATGGCAAAGATTAAAAGCATTGTCCTATCATAAACATGAAAATGGATCTCAATTTTACAATAATTTATTAGGTTAGAATTCAATGTAAAAGGAATCTAGCAAAATGTATTATTGTCACTACTGCACAATATAGCAAATGGATTGACAATGTCCTTGACATGATTTTCACAGAACATCATTAACATGCCACCGCTCTTTTTGCGAAGTAAAAAGATGAGCATAATAACATAATCTCTAACGCTCCCGCCATCTTTTTGATGGAGGGCGTTTTTATTGATGTCGATGAGTAGGTACACTAATCCATGGAATGATGGGAATATTGGGATATTACAAAGTTATTAGTAAAGAATTACAAAAGCAGGAAAGAAATCCCTTCGCCTGAAGGCAGTCTACAGTACTCATCTTAATCATAGCTAAAGTGCTGAGTGGTATTCATTTTGGAGATTACAGTGTTTTGAATAATTATTCTAGATTGTTTCCTTGGTTAAGGTGGTATCATTAATGGCAGTGCACCTTTCAAAAGCCTCTCATTTTATAAATATTCTCAAACGTACGAACTTGATCGACTGGTGTAATCTGTTTGTACAAAAAGATATAAGAATCGAACAGATCCCAGGCAACTGGACAGAAATACCTCTTTCTCCGTCCATATCGTATTCAGACGGTGGCTTTAGATCCATGCTAAAGATTGGCCGATAACCCAAATTTGGCTCCCAATGTCTGCTCATAATCGTGTTCATTATTGATGCGCTCTAGTGCCAAACAGATTGGATTACTTCTTCTCCATTATCTATTCCTCTCTTCTCTGTCACACGTTATTAGTATTCCAAACACCCCGCCTGGCAATCGTGTTTCTGCCACCACTCCGGGTGCTAAGAGGGGATTAGAGAGACGGTAAAGCGCGGTCGTTACCTGTGCAAGAGCCATTGATTGGGGCTCGTTAGATATAATTGCGCCACTACGATGTTAGCATTAAATGGGCGAGCGGGTTTGATTTGCCAGTCTGTTTCTATTAGGCTCCATTTTGGGAATGAGGATATCTGATTTGTCAGAAAAATATTTATGTAATTTCTAGCAAGGCAAAAATTGTTGTGTATTTATCACACGCTCTGTGTGACTGTCTCAACTTCCACTGACTAATTTTGCTCAAAGAAATTAATTATTCTAGTCGTTGTCAGGCTATCCCACAATAATTGAAGTGTATTATTGTGTTATTTATTTGTATTTGGAGTCAAGAGGGATGACAGACAAAATAATATGTGAAGTTATAGGACAGACATGTATTTCTCTTTCAATGTATTTTACTCCTAAATTATTAAAATCTTCTGAAAAGGAACTTTTGCGACGCTTGAGAAATACACAATGTGAGAGGAGGGAGCCATAGTATGTGTGAGAACATGGCAGTGTATGTCATTTGTACATACATTCGAGCTTGGCTGGCGACAGGGAGAGGACAAGTAATAAAGATTCCCTTTCATAAGTGCATATTTATGATGCTTTGCTCAAATGCCACAGTGCAAATGCATCCAGACGATAGAGGCTCTGTCTCTTGCACCCAAATATTGATCCATGAGGCCGTTATTTCCCCATTACATGACTAGTCATGCACTCCTCAGCACACTTTGCTTGTCCAGGTCAGAATGCTACAGAAAGTGGCGCTTCCTATTTGTTTTTCTTGAGGACTCGATTAAAGGATTCTGAAAAAAAATTCTCACAAAAATGAAACACTTGTGAAAGTATTAAATTAAGGTCACTATAAATAGTTGAGACGATGGGTGAATGAAAATTGTAGCGTACCAAAATGCACAGAAAGATGATGGAGGTGGCCTATGAATAGACTGCATTGTCCTATGTATTTCTATTTCGATCAGATACAGTGTTAATGTATGTTACTTTTAACAAGGTTTGAGCAATCCTTTCTCACTTTGCTTGTCAAATCAGCCTATCAACTGCACGGTCAACAATAATTTAAAATGACTTCTAAACAGTTTTACTTTGAAATGCATCTTTGTTACAAGAACTTTGATTTTAACAACACCTTTAAAAATTCTGTTCATTGTCATAACATGGATTAAGTTACACTTTGCTCAGCACCACCTATTTTGATTCAGTGGCGTACTGCACTTTTGTTTTGTTTTTTGTTTGTTTTTGCAACCAAAAGATTTGTCTGCTTAAAAAAAAAGAAGAATGTTGACTCGTATTCTTTAATACATAGATAAAACTCTTCTGCCTCCCAGCACATGATTAATACACACATCAAATACAGAACACGTAGACAAACCTGCAGTCGGTTCAGTATACATGGTGTTACATCATGTGTGTTATACAAAAATAAACCTTGGAATTGCGGGGGGGGGGGGGGGGGGGGGGGGGGGGTTTAGAAAGAAGGTACGTAGCAATCTATTTCGTCTGAGCCTCTTATTGTGAATTATTGTCATATCCACACATACATATACACAAACAAAACAACAGCCAATTACCATTCCGGCCGACTGCCACTGTATGTAGATTGGATTCTGAGTGAGGAAATGACGAGTATATGGGCTTTCAAGGATAATTCAGATGGTGACATTTTGCAACAGTTTTCAATTTCTGATTGCAAAAAAGGGAATGAGACTAGCAATATCTGCTTTCAGCAAGCAGACAATCATGTATCTATCCAAAATCTTAGGGACATTGTCATCGTAGCAGCTTTGTACGACTGATTTTTGATGCATATGTGTTGTTCCGTTTCCTTTCACGAGGTATGGTATGGTTCCGGGAAATGTGTTAAATAATATATCCTTTCAAAATATCTCCTGAGAATAAATGAATATACGTGTACCTGCACAGTCAGCTGCCAGATAAAAGTGTATTAAAAAAGGCTTGCCAAGAAAAACAACCAAATTTAACTCTGATATTTTGCCTGTCCCTATCAAAACAGAAATTATTATTTTGTTTTTATTAGAAGATTAGAAGAGCAAGATCAGTTCATATATATTTATTTTGATGATATGTATTTTCAATTAATTTGTTAAAAGCAGTTGAATTGTGGAATCAAGTTACGGTAGTTGAAGCAGTTATGACAGCAAAACAGCAAAATAGCATTCAGTATTCACGTCTAAGTGTAGTTAAGTGAGCTAGCTTAGGGACGTTTTAACTTAATCTTGTTGCCAAGCCAATAATATAATTATTATTTTGAGGGATTGTCAGCCTTTGCGATCATTTTCTTTAATGAATTCATAGCCTGAATGTTATTGTAATTTACATTCAGAATGGCCTTATTCATATATTGATGTAGGTTTAACTTGAACAAGTTCAATCAAAGGGATAGGCAATTATTTAAATTCAATAGCACCACAGAGAGCCTAGACATTTGCTGTCTTGTTTTTTTTACAGATGAACGTAATATTTTGACATTTATGAATGTAATATAATATTTTGGCAGAAGACGTCTTTTCTAAAATGTTAAATATGCAGATTTGTCTTAGGTTTTCAGGTGTTTTAATCAGAAATATATTTGTGGAAGGATTTTTTTTAAACTACTAGAAAAACAGGTTTGAGATTGTACTGTTTTGGTTTGTGTGCAATCAAACTCAAAGTTTGTATGAAAGATATTTTGAGTGCATGGCATTTAGACTAAAGGCATATTTAGCATTTTACGGCAAATGATTTGATCATGTTCAAAATCAAACATCCAGCTTGTATGTAATAGTTTCCTTATTTTTGAATGTCAAAGGTGAAAAATATTTGATTTAATATCATTCAAGATATTATTGGTGGAGTGGTGTCCATATTTTCTACACAGTTTTCCACCATGCCCCCTCACAGAGTGCATGCTATTATTTCAGAATGTTTCAGAACAAAATATTAAGGGGGGAGGGTCCATTTTTGTTCTTCAATTTCTGGGACTATCAGTTTGATTTTATGTTGGAAAGATTGCAAAGTGGAGATGAAAGAATAAGCAGTGATGAATTTTTAAAAGCTATGACGCAAATTTATTTCTTATTTTCTCAGGAGAGGGAGACACAACTACTATATGAAGACCAGGTAACAAATCCAAAACCAACAAACCCTCATATCTGTTCTTATCAGAATATTTATTTGCACACATGTTAAAAACAAGTTATTCTTCATTTACCTCATTTCAAAATTAAAAATTCAAACTTTCTTTTTAAAGTTCCATGGATGCTGTGACCTTGCACTCAAACATCATATTATTTTTGTGTGACCTATTATTTCTTGAAAGTGGTATGTCAGTGAATGTAAACATGTATTATTTTATATCTTTGGTTGTGTGACTGTATACTCCCATTGAAAACCCACCCTTGTAATCTTAAAAGCAAAATCATGAATTTCAAAGCATATGCATCTGATTATCATGATCATTACAGTCTTCAAGAAAACAGTGTCACTTTCCCTCTTTTTGACAATTCGTAAAAGAATGTATCGTTTGCAGTCATGATTTTGTTGGAAGCATGGAGATACTCATCCTAATTTTTTATGAAATTGTTTATCTTTGATTTTGTATCTTTGATTTTTATATTATTCATATTTTCTTCTTTAATAATGTTTTCCATACTTTGTTGTAAAATTTACACAAAATGTATAGGCTTGGTTAAGCTAGGCTACATACAACTTTCCCAACATCAATATTTCTTACATATCTTTCATTCTTTGAACAATACATTTTTCATACTAATGTCCCTAAAAATTCATCACATCTTTATCAATGCATACATTCAAAAATTCATCAAGACATGATGGGATTATTTATTTGCAAAAGAAGTATATCAGTTTTGATTGAGCCATGTTATCTACAAGTATCTAAACATAAACATATCAGTTTTATATAACTTCTAATCATATTTTCATCATATATTTCTCACAATTCTATAAATATCTTTATTTATATGACAATAATTCATTTAAAAAAAACACATGTATTCCTCCATTATATTCACTTTTTAAATGCAACATACTGTATTAACATCACTCGGTAACATATGCAGTATTGGAATATAATTCTTGTTCCTGCCAAGGACACATGTTTCAAATCATTAAGTTCCCTTTTTACCATCAAAGTTTAACTTGTGTTTGTGAATTGGAAAAATACCACATCTGTTCAAATTATTTGTTATATTATTTGCACCTCTTCCATTTTCTTTAGGAATCATCTTCACCACCATTTTACCCTGTTTATTATAAACTTCCTTTCTCATTAAAGCTTTCTCTAAACTTTCTTCAAAATATCTTAAAATCATAGCATGGCCTGTGCTCTAAGAATGACTGCAGTTATGTTTCTCTTTTACATCTCTAAATATTTTCCATTATTTTAGTTTTACTATTTCATAAACTGCAAAAAAAGAGCATTTACTAAACTGTGCTGCTACAACATTGTTAATTTAGATACTGACAACCTTTGAATTACTGGATAAAAAGTGCTCAACACTAGGAGTGTATTATTCAACAAACCCAGATAATTTCTATGACTGAATATGTATCATTCTTTCATGATTTGATGAACCAAAATCGGGTAAAGTATTTTTAGCTTGGCAAAATAATGTACAATTTCAGTTTGCCAAACAGTGAGGAGAGCTAAACCCAATGTTTCATACAATGGATGATAAAATAATGATCTCATTTTTAGTGCAGCTTAGCTTTCAATTTTTTTAGAAGCAGACATATATATATGTGCACATGCATAAAAACAATTCTTCCAGATTCTACCAGTTTCATTGATAATGAAGAAGTATCAAAGTATATATTGAAGTTTCAAATTCCCTTTTTTCATATTTCTTCAAGTTCTTCTTTTGATAGTTGTTATAAAAGCATGTACTACGCAGCTTTTCAAAAGATTCATGAGCATAAGCATGAGCATCAGTGTCCTCTCTTGCATATTTTGATGTGACGGTAGTGAGCAGTATTGGAGGTCGGGCTGTATTGGATGTGCATCAGTATTCGTTTCCGCTGCTTGTATCTTTGTTTTTTCTGCTGACTTGCAGATTGATGGAAAATCATGTTGAGGTGCCTGGATCTTCATTTTAAAATTCAGTACAGGGATGGGGAAAATCATGGCATGATCGTCTCAGTTCTGCTTTTAATACGATCTTTGCGAAGCATTCAATTATTGACCACCACTATTCTACACTGCTCATGTGGTATGTTTTAAAAAAATGGAAAAGGGGATCATCAGTCAATTCATAGAATATATAGAAGAGAAAATTTGATGGCATACTTTTGTGTGGAAATTACATTATCATAACAATTAATTGTTAGAGTACTATCGAGTGTACCTGCCCACCGGACAATTTCTTTTAAAAATATCATATTGCAATTGATCTACCGTATTTGATATTGATTTATTGTAATTCAAATACTGTATGCCATTATTGATGGATATTATTTCACTTTGCCTCCATCTTTATATCCCCTCTTGGAGTTTTCTTTCAGTTAATATATATATATTTTTTTCAGTTGAAAACATATTTCATCTTATCAGTCTTTCCATAATCACTTCATAGATTCCTTTCTAAATTAGTATTTAGCATGTATTTTTGGTATATAATAAAATATATAATAATGATGAGGCAATATATGGTACACATGAATCATTACATGCTGGTGGAGAAGGGTTGAGCACAAATTAGTGTCAAGATCAAAGACTATTTAAATTTAGATTGCAAAAGTTTAAAAAATCACTTGGACAATGTGGACAGTTTACAGAAGTTTGATGCATAGATGTATTCAAATAATTATAACCTCCCAAAAAAGTATTCAAATAATTAAACATTTTGGATTTATTTTTTATTTTTATTTGGGGGGGGGGGGGGATGCTGAAATGTATATTTCCTGTCAATGCATTGTGCATGGTGAACAACAAAATGTCTGGTATTAGCTGTAGGGATTAAATGTTGTACTTGTACCCCTTCAAGGGTTGTTCTGACTACAGAATCTTGATGGTTGTGGGTCCCATGCAGTCTTGCCATTTTGTCTCCATCTTTATGCCTCCTTTGGGAGTTGTCATTCAGGGAAACCCAAAACCTCATCCTGACAATGCTTGCTCATTCACATTCAAGATGCAGCAGCCGTAATTCTGCATCCAATGAAAACTAACTAGCTCATGAATGCAAGGTTTAAGTGATACGTGAGGTCTGCAGGAAAAAAGAAGAAGAAGAAAATGTAATTTGATTTTACAGGATGTGGCAATTGCTACAAGGCATTTTTTTAAAGAGAAATCTAAGACAGCATAGGAAAATGTAAATGCAGCAGCTTTCTGCATCCTATGAAAGTCAACTAGCCCATAAATGAAAGATTCTTGCCACATGAAGTTGTTAGAAATAAAGGAAATGTATCCTGAGATGGCAGGAAGTGGCAATCGCAACAGGGTATTTAGTTTAAGGTCATTTAGCAAACTTTATATACCTCACTTAAGAAATCCAGCCATCTGATTGGTCGAATTGCATTCATAAACTTCAACTGTTCCTGTAAAATTCCCGGTAACCATGCTTAAAACATTTCAATATTTTTAATAACCATGGTTATTAAAAAAATAGGTCAGTCTCCATGGTTACCCCATAGGTTTACATGTTAAAAAATGGTTTGAGCGATGGAGGATACCATACGTGTGCGAAAATTTGGTCGGCAATTTCAATACAATTGAATCTCGATCGATCTTACCGACAATTTTATCTTGCATTGTTGACATGAAGACGAAAATTAACTCTCAAAAACAAAAAAACAACATCTGCCGATAGATCTTGATCTAAGTTCGTGCCAATATGCATTGCGAAAGTAAAAGAAGGGTCCGTTTCATGGAGCTTTTGCGAAGCATCCCTCACGCGGAGCCGTTTTCAATCCATTTTAATGTATATATTGGAGAAAACTGCCAAGCATGTTAACGGCGCGCGATAGCCGAGTGGTCTAAGCGTTGGTTTTCGATACACCTCTTGTTGTACGCAAGAGTTCGAATCCCGTCTTCGACAAAAATGTAAATTATTTTTTATTTTTTATTTTTTAGTCTATTTTTTTTCGGCATATAAAAGTATTAATGACTGCTTTAATATTCGAGAAATAGTTGTTCTCATACGCTCTCGGGAAGGTAACAATTGGGCTATTCCCCTCGGCAAGCCTCGGGGAATAGAACAATTCTAACCTTCCCTTGAGCGTAATAAAACAACTATTTCTCTCAAAGCAGTCATTAATACTATAATAGATCCTGCATCTCTCTGCATCCAGTGAAAGCTAAATGTAACCTATGAATATAAGATTCTTGCTAAATGTGATGGGTAGGAAAAAGATATATAGGCAGGAAGTGGCTACTGGGCGATTTGAAAAGTAGTCAGAAGAACTTAATTGGATTGATTGATAGCTTTATAGAAGAAAGAGAAAGGATTTTTCATTAACCTTAACCTTAGTCTCCTTTTAAAGATGAAGTTGAGTTCTGGTCATGCGATTGCATTGTGAAAGAAACGGTGTGGAATCGACCAGAAAAGGTTGATCATCTAGCATATAAGACTTTGAGTGTATTGCAAGCTTCTGGAATCGTCAAAATGATAAGAAATTTGGCAAAGTCTTGGTAAAGTTACAAACACTGTACACAGAAAGATGTATATGGGACTACACGAACACGTTGCCTAAAAATCCTACCCCCCCCCCCCCCCCCGAGTTTTACGATGTTACATGACATATTTAGAATATAAAGGCATTTGAAGAGCCATGCTTTTCAGGGAACATGTCTTATCTGATGTTCTTCCACACTTGCATAATAAGAATGATGACGCTCACAAATTATTTTTCACCTCTTCCCAGAACTCAACCTTCTCTTTAACAACGATGAGCATTTGAAGGAACTCATATCCTGTTACACATTCTGGCTCTAAAGAGACCATATTATCTTCTCAGATTATCTTCTCTAAATTATCCCCCCCCCTTCCCCCGGTCTGGCTCTCAGCAGAAGTTTTCTTTCATCTGGAGTTTCAGGAAAATCAAGATTCTACACATTGCTGTGGTAATTTCATGCAACTAATGTATAAAGGTTTCATCAAAAA